AAATGCAGACAATATGAAACATATAGTAAAACGCAGACAATATAGATATATAGTACAACTTGTGATAAATGCAGACAATATGAAACATATAGTGAAACGCAGACTATAGATATAATAGAGAAAATATTTGTTTAACATTAAATTCATTTTGTAAAATGCATACACTATAGATATATAGTACAACTTTTGATAAATGCAGACAATATGAAACATATAGTAAAACGCAGACACTATAGATATAGAGTAAATGCAGACAATATGAAACATATAGTAAAACACAGACAATATAGATACATAGTACAACTTTAATAAATGCAGACAATATGAAACATATAGTAAATGCAGACACTATAGATATAGAGTAAATGCAGACAATATGAAACATATAGTGAAACGCAGACAATATAGATATAATAGAGAAAATATTTGTTTAAACATTAAATTTATTTTGTAAAATGCATACACTATAGATATATAGTACAACTTTTGATAAATGCAGACAATATGAAACATATAGTAAAACGCAGACACTATAGATATAGAGTAAATGCAGACAATATGAAACATATAGTAAAACGCAGACAATATAGATATATAGTACAACTTTGATAAATGCAGAAATATGTAGCATATAGTAAAATGCATACACTATAATATATAGTACAACTTTAAATAAATGCAGACAATATGAAACATACAGTAAAAACGTAGACAATATAGATATATAGTACAACTTGTGATAAAATGCAGACAATATGTAGCATATAGTAAAATGCAGACCATATAGATATATAGTAACAACTTGTGATAAATGCAGACATATGAAACATATAGTAAAACGCAGACACTATAGATATTAATAGAGAAAATATTTGTTTAACATTAAATTCATTTTGCTAAAATGCATACACTATAGATATATAGTACAACTTTTGATGAATGCAGACAATATGAAACATATAGTAAAATGCAGACACTATAGATATAGAGTAAATGCAGACAATATGAAAACATATAGTAAACGCAGACAATATAGATATATAGTACAACTTTTGATAAATGCAGACAATATGTACCATATAGTAAAATGCAGACACTATAGATACTATAGTACAACTTTTGATAATTACTTTCTTGTCCACATTTCTTTTATGTTACAATTATACAAAGCTACAGTAGTATTAAATATTTTTATTCCAAATTAATTTAATTAAAATCTAACATAGAATAAAAAAAAACCTTTCTTATATCACTATTTATATATTTATTGTTGATATTATCATACTAATAAAACATTTAAATAAAAGATTTCTAATCTCTAATTAAAATGTTATTTTTGTATGAAATAATAATTCTTATAAATCTCTTATTTTATAAAGTTAATCTGAAAAATAAAGTGGTGACAAGCTGTTAAGAGTCTAATTCACACCTTCTATTTCTATATCGTCTGCATTTTGTGAAAACACTCTATATCTATATTGTCTGCGTTTTACTATATATTCTATATCGTCTGCGTTTTACTATATATTCTATATTGTCTGCATAAGCGTCTGCGTTTTAGACCGGCCCAATTAAATCAGAGCGAGGATTTTTGTACCTGGACACCGGGCGGAAGTTAATTTAGCTTTCCTAATTTAGCAACAAGAAAATTAAACAAGATGTTAAGGAATGCAAGGTCATCTACTAGTAGAAATGATGATTTGCGTCCGTTACGAACCGTTGAACTAACACCAAGGGGGCTTAAGATTGAATCGACTAATTTTGAAGAAAAAGAACACCATTATGTTGAGTTTGAATGTAAATATCTTGGAAATATTCCAGGTGTTCCTTCAGAAAATGATACAACTAACAGAACTGAAGTGCTGAAAATAATAGACAGGGGTAAAAAGCAGGGTTTAATTCCACTTCACTTGACTTCTGAAAACGATGCGATCTTGTTCATTAATAAGGAAAAGGTGCAAGTAAATCGACGCGATTTAAAAGAAGATTTTCTGCTACATCTTCCTCTTCATGAAATTGCTCATGTGTGTTACGTTCAAGAAGAGCGGTTACATATTCTAGCAATTAAACACGGTACGCCAGAGCGGCTTAATATGGCAGTGCTGCTGTGCGATGGACAAGACACGTCTGAAGCCATATGTGCGCTGGTGAGCTGCTGTTTTTCAGCTGTTTATTCAGCAGTAATGATTGACTTAATCGAGGACACCATTGACATCGCCATTGATAATCGCTCTTTGAGTTCTGATACAACAACGATAAGTCAGCATCCACAGTTTGTTTCTGGTTCATGCAAAAGTTTAGAACCAGACTCGCCCGGACCAGTTGATAGTGAAATTAGTGCAGAGTCGCAGGCAGATGTTCTTCGAGAATATATGTGGCAACTAAATGCAAAATTGAAACCTGAAGAGTTAAAAGCATTCTCCACATATCTAAAAAATTGGAACTATTCTTCAAACAAATTGCAAGATTTCTGTGAAAATCTTTACAAACTTTATGGTTCTGAGAGAAAATATCTATTAGCAGGCATGTACCCATTCATACCTGAACGTGACTGCCAGTATTTTGAAAAATTTCTGAAGAAGCATGATGTTAGTTTGCCAGGACTTGTTACACTCAGTAGCCTTCATGGATATCCTCCGTTGTTCTACACTCGATCTATCAGTGATATTTCTGTTAATAGTAATACAGGGGACAGTAGTAATGCTGATTTTGGAACAAATGCAGACTTTGACTCAGAGTTGGATGCCCTCGGAAAAAACCTGGAAAGGATTGAAGTGAGTGTAGGGGAGACCACTCAGTCCTACTTACATTCTGTATTTGATAAGAACAGTAAAATATAATCAAGAATGATCAGAGATATGATTTAGTGCTGTTATTAACAAAGTGATTAATATTATTCTGAAGTACATACAATGTACTGACATATTTCATCTAAACATATATATTGAGTATATAGAGATGATCTTGGTTATTTTTTATAGCAAAATGTGGTGTAAATATATTCCAAATGAAATTAACAGTTTGAGACATTGAGGCTAAATGAACAGGAATAAATTTTATTTCATTGAAAGTGATTAATTTTGTGATCAACTTACATTTTCATACTGACAAAAAAGTGTACATACTGTGTAAACTTATAGATAAAAATCTTTATTAGCTTTTATAAAGACTGATAGTCATTTAGTAACACATACCTGTACTTATTACATACATGAAGATTTCATGTCAAATGTCAAAGTATTTCTCTATAAGCAACTCAAAGAGCTAAGCTTTATTTATGCAGGCCTTTTTATCCTGATAGTGTAAATACCATTAAATGGAGGCATTCCAAATACCAGAACATATTGTTTTAGCTCTGACACAAAATACTCAGAGGTGAGTTTTTGTGATGGCATATATTGTTCTTGGTCTGTCCTTATCCACAATATCTTTAAACAACATCTCCTCCTAAACCAGGAGAAGATAATGCAAATTAGATAAATAGAGTCTATTCTTTTAATCACTGTATGTTAAGTACTTCCCTTGAGGACTCTTTACAACACATATGTATGACACAAGAACTCAATTCGATTTTTTACTCAAATCTTATTCTAATGGTGTTGATGGCATTCCCAAAATGCTTAAAAAATGATCTAATGTATTCAGATTACATGTATGTACAATGTATGACAGTTGAAAATTAATGATGTTTTCAAATACAAATGTATCAGTATTGGTGCTATATAAATGTTGTGTTATCACATTTTGTAAGCTTCATACACATATACAAGCATGCTTTGATACAGAGCTTAAAGAGGATTGGTCTACAATGAGCACATTTTCTAAAAGTATTTAAAATATTGATTAAAAACAACATAAATATATATCATTTGGATATTTTTTATAAAATATTTCTTGGATGGAGTTCTAAGTGTTTTAGTCTGACATTTATAGGATAAAATAATGATAATTTGAGCCGCGTCATGACAAAACCAACATAGTGCGTTTGCGACCAGCATGGATCCAGACCAGCCTGTGCATCCGCGCAGTCTGATCAGGATCCATGCTATTCGCTATCAGTTTCTCTACTTGTAATAGGGTTTGTAAGCGAACAGCATGGATCCTGATCAGACTGCGCGGATGCGCAGGCTGGTCTGGATCCATGCTGGTCGCAAACCCATAATGTTGGTTTTGTCATGACGCGACTCATTTGTTATAGAACAATTTATTATCCACTATATACATGAAATATTGGTTCCTGTATCTCACACAAACAACTTCTATAACTCTTTCATTGTTGTTATGTCTAAATACTATTGTTTGGTTTTATTAACGGTTTTTTAACCTGTCAATTACATACTGATTACACGGTCGAGGCACACAGTATATTAATCTTCGGTAGATGTTCGTTAAGTTCCGTGAGATGTATGCTGTACGATGGAATTTAATTTAATTTGTATCTCTAAACTAAGTGTACTCAGCGTTATAGCGCAATAGGGTAAATCACGAGTTTATAATCTAAGTGCCACACGTGTTTTAAGTTCGATGCCGCGTTGCATAATGTTTTTTTCTTATTACAACTTTCAACATTATTGAATCTATATATGATTATTTTATGTTGTTCGTTTTTTTTATTATGTTTTACTTAATTTTGTTATGTATACTGTTTCCTCTTTTTAAATAACATTTTTTTAAGAATTCATGTTTAAAATTAAAACGGATTAAAATCAATAAATGTCTTTTCAATGCCGGAAAACACACTACAAATCTGTTCCATTAAAATATACTGCAAAAATAAAGAAAGAGTACTTAAACAATGGCAACAGTAAGGATCGAACCACAGACCTCTCAATTATCAGGCATTCTCTTTACCGACTGTCCTATTGTGAATTAACGAAAACCTTCACATTAAGCTGGCGTGACTTTCAATCCATGACTAATATACTCCCCATTAATTCTCGTGAACTACACGGACCAACCCGAAGTGGGAACGAATATTTAAATGAGTCCTATCATGTATTCATAACTGACAGGTCAATAAAATCAGACTATACCTGGTATATTATGTAATGGTCTAATCTTGTTTATTAATGGTATAATTACAGAACTTCCATTATTGACCAGACCAATTCTCTTTAAAAAAAGCTTTTATATTATTTGAGATAGTTATGCCCTAATATTGATGGATTGTTCTACGGACATACATCCTTTTTGTTTTGTCTGTCTGAAGAGAACAGTATTGACCTTTGACATTCAGCAATGTCATCTTCATTCCATGAGCTAGACCCGGTATACTTAGACAGCATAATATGTCACCTTAGTGCAATAACCAATTAAGTCCTTATAAATTTGAAAAGAGTTAACCAGTTATTGCACTAAGGTGACAACCAGTGGAAAAGAACTTTATTTTATGTTTTGAAGTTTGACCCCTTACTGACCTTGACTTTCAAGAATAAATTTTCAAAATTAAGGGAATTTAACAGCTTTATGTTGAAGAAATATATGTTGGATATAGGCATTATGTTTTATGACCATATTCTGTTTTAATTGATATGCTAGCATTTTGTGATAATATTTCTAACCATAGTAATAGCTAGTTATTTATATGATCTTATGATCTGTTAAGCCTTGGGTTATTTAATAAAATTGAAATTATTTAGAGAAATGTGAGTAAATTTTATTTTATTATATGATCTAATGAAGTGTTATTAATTGTCACTGTTTAAAAAAATTGAAACAAGCAACTTCATATTGTTCAAAACCTTAATTGTTTGCATATATTAGAGAACTTTTTTTATACCATTCTACTGAAACTAAACTGTATTTATGAATTACATGCACCATAATGTATAAGTAGCACGTTTAAATACACCTTGACAGTAATGTTAGTCATAATGGTATGGTGTTTGTCCTTCATCTGTCCTTCCTTCAGTCACACTCTTGTCCACTCATTAATTTAATAAATATTATGTGTGCTGTCTGCATACTTAATAGGCAGGTTTGTCATGGCTCAATGGGTCAAAGGTCATGAAGGTGCCTATGAATTGGTCTGCAATGGAAGTGTGGGTTGTAGTTGTCAGCATGCCAAGGATCAAATGACCCTGTTTTGATAAGTAACCTTTTCCTAAATAAAGAGTTTAAGAATAGTAAAGGTATCCTACTCACCTGTGAGTCAGCATAACACTTGGGTTGAAGTTTTGCTTGCAGAATCATATATCTCATCAACCACTAAACATATTTGCTTGTTACTACATACACTTATTTGAGAGCATAAGAGAAGGTTACTGTCCAAGTCCCATAACTCTAGCATGGATTTTGACAAAAGTATGACAAAACTAAGACAACTCTTGGTTAAAGTTTTGGAAGCAACGTCAATTGGGATAATAAATGGAGGCCACTATCTTAGATCCATAACTCTGGTTTTGATTTAAAACTATTGAAGGTATTCACTTAACCTTTATACAATTAAAAATAAAGAACAAAAAAATTGCCGATCCAATAAAAACGACCTTGCCACGCGGGCCTCTCGAAGCCAGTTTCGTTTGGTTAGTGCTTTGTGCCTTGTATTGTTCAGAAGAACATTCCAACTACAGTAAAGACTGTTTACAGTGACCTTCGATGGGAGAAAAGAAAAAAGGTCATTATAAACAGGGAGTCACTGTGGACAGTCTCTACATAATTCGGATATATGAACATATCATACCAATATTTTGTTGAAAAGCAGGATAGTACCATTAAACATACCAAATATCATTTATAAAAAACAGGACAGTATTAAAATTGCATGTAGAATTGGTTAAGATTATAAACTACACCATTTCATTAGTATTTAAAAGTTACATATTGATTAAAAATGTAATTTATATTGATAAATCTGTTTGTAAAAAAATATTTAATTTCAATTTTATTAATGAGATGTATTGCAATGGCTTATCTTTAATGGACCATTTCTATACAGTTTTCGAAGGAAAAAACCCGTTGAATGTTTAAAGAAAACTAAAGGAAACCGTGATGGATTTTATGAAATGTAATAGACAGAAAATGAAAATAAACATGCGCATCTCCAATGCATAACAAGTGCTTTTACATAAAATAAAAGCCCCTGAAACAGTAACAATAACATTAACGTGTGCATTATGTTTGTAATCTGTATTCCTTTGGCTCTACCATCTGTTTTATGACAGATAAGTACCACAAAAAACCTATCACCATGGATGGTGTGAGCTTAATTTGTGACTAGCGATAAAAAAACGAAAAGGCATATCGCCGTGGGTTGTGTGAGCTTTACTGTATTCTCTTGACTCTGTCAGCGTGTTTAATATCAGATAAGAACCACTAGAAAGGCCCATCACCTTGGGTTTTGTGAGCTGTATTGTCATCCTTTCTAACTGAACCAGCGTGCTTTCAAAAGGCCTAACACCGTCGGTTATGTGAGCTTGACTGTATTTCTTTGGCTCTACCATCGTGTTTTATATCAGATAAGAATACTAGAATGGCCTATCACCGTGGGTAGTGTGAGCTCTGGCAGAATCAGCATCCTTTTTATCCGATAAAAGTCCTTTAAAGGGCCTATTACAGTGGGTTGTGTGAGCTCTTTTTCCTTGGCTTTACCACCGTGTTTTATATCAGGAAAGAACCACTAGAATGGTCTATCACCGTGGGTTTTGTGAGCTTTATTGTTTTTCTCTGGTTGTTCAAGCGTGCTTTTTATCCGATAAATATCTCACCGTGTGTGGTTTGAGCTTTTCTGGATTCCCTTAGCTCTACCACCGTGTTTTATATCATATAGGAACCACTAGAATGGCCTATCATCCTGTGTTTTGTGACCTTTATTGTAATTAATCCTCTGACTGTACTATATCATGCTTTCTATCTGATAAATATCCTCTAAAAGACTTATCACCGCGGGTTGTGTGAGCTTTCGTGTATTCTGCTAGCTCTACCACCGTTTTTTATATCAGATAAGAACACTAGAAAGGCCGATCACCGTGAGTTGTGTGAGCTTTACTAAATTGGCCCCACCACCGTGTTTTATATCAGGAAAGAACACTAGAATGGCCTATCACCGTGGGTAGTGTGAGCTCTGGCAGAATCAGCATCCTTTTTATCCGATAAAAGTCCTTTAAAGGGCCTATTACAGTGGGTTGTGTGAGCTCTTTTTCCTTGGCTTTACCACCGTGTTTTATATCAGGAAAGAACCACTAGAATGGTCTATCACCGTGGGTTTTGTGAGCTTTATTGTTTTTCTCTGGTTGTTCAAGCGTGCTTTTTATCCGATAAATATCTCACCGTGTGTGGTTTGAGCTTTTCTGGATTCCCTTAGCTCTACCACCGTGTTTTATATCATATAGGAACCACTAGAATGGCCTATCATCCTGTGTTTTGTGACCTTTATTGTAATTAATCCTCTGACTGTACTATATCATGCTTTCTATCTGATAAATATCCTCTAAAAGACTTATCACCGCGGGTTGTGTGAGCTTTCGTGTATTCTGCTAGCTCTACCACCGTTTTTTATATCAGATAAGAACACTAGAAAGGCCGATCACCGTGAGTTGTGTGAGCTTTACTCTGTTCCATTGGCTATACCAACGTGTTTTATATCAGATAAGAATCACTAGATGTGCCTATCTCCGTGGGTTGTGTGAACTTTACTGTATTCCCTTGGCACTACCACCGTGATTTAAATATGTAATAAACATGATGTTGTAACGGTTAGGGCTTGTTATTTATATAGAGACAGAACATATATAGGGCCAATCAACAACAGATCAGACAAACAGTGTTTGAACGCTTGTCACCAGAAAACGATGGTTTTATTAATAAATATTCATAATGTTTATATACAGAAAAAGTAAATTACTTATAAAAAATGACAATGTTATGCGGGCTTCTTGAGGCCCGATTCCTTTGGGGTTTTTTTGTGCCTTATATTGCTGTAAAGAAGAACCTCCACATTATTAAAATTTACTACTATTACTAGACATAATTAATTATTTTATAGAATTTCTTTCCATGTGGAGTTATTGATTGGTGCCTTGATTTATATTTATTGCATTTTGCCTCATGCTGTCATGTATATATTGTGCATGTCTTGAGAGAAATAAAGATATTGTATTGTATTGCATTCGGAACAACTTTAACCTACATGTAATTAAAGAATTGAAAGAGTCAAACCCGTGTTAAAGACAACCTTCAAATAAAGACCATCCTGTTAAATAAAGACCACTCTTTGCCTATCCTTCATTCATAAAATACAACAGAGTACACTCAACATAAAGACCACTTGTCT